CAGAACGCCTAGGGACAATGAAATGAGAAGGGCGCAGCAGGGGGCGGCCGGGGCGGGCCGGCCCGGCCAGGTCGACTGGGCTGCCATCTAGTAGGCGGGGCTGGAAGCGCGCGCCACCGAGGCGCCACGACCGCGGGCGCGGAACTTGGCCAGCGTCGACTCGGCCATGTCGCAGCGCTCCTCGGACGCCTCGAGCTCCTGCGGTGGGGCGGGGCAGGTCAGATACGGGTCAGAGGTCACGGGTTACAGTCGGACCTCCTGACGTATCGAGGTCTTCCAACGGCAGCGAAAGACCACGGCATGGCAAAGGATACCGCAAACAAGCAACGCAATTCAGATACACCATCAACATAGCATGACATTAGCCCACAGAAGGCACAGGTCACTGGCTGGCGGCACCTGAGCAGCTTCAAAGTTCCTCAAGCCGAACCATTAGCATATAGGAGTAAATGGCCCCAGTTAAAAGCTTCCGAAAATCACGCGCAAGGTGCGCACACCCCGTGCGTTATTTGACTACCCCTAGGCATAATTTCCGGTCTGTGAAGCGCATGCGTGAAGCTCTTTATCTTTTGGGCCGGATCGTGAATCGCCCGAATGCGTTTTCCCCTCAGCCTGCAAGAAAGGCTCGAATGCGAAAATCCACTAACGAGCCGAAAGAGCAAAAGCCAATGGATGATTCTCGAAATTTGTTTTGGCTTTCCACCCTCACGAATTAAAAGAGGCTGCGCCCCGCAGGAAAACCAAGACATCCTTCCCGCGCACTATCCGCCGCCCATCGCTGGCGCGACACGGTGGCAACATCGGCGGCACGCACCTGCTGGCACTTGCGGTACTTGGCGAGGTTGAGGGCGGCAATCTCCTCCGCCTCGTCGATCTGCCGCTTGTACGTCTTGATTCTGCTGCAGCGAGTCGACCAGGTCCTGCATGCGCTGGTGGTTCTTCTTGTCCTCGTCCGCCTGCGGCCAGACATTTGAGATCAGCACGGAGTCGACAGGCGGAAAAGGGGGCCGGGAGGGGGGGGGGGGGTAAGCGTCGGCACAGGCGCGAAACGGATACGTGTAGACGCGTAGGAGCTTCTCGGCGAATGTGTGGGGTCGGTCGCAAAAGCATTTCCATTGATATCACATGACCTACTACACCAATGTAAAAGTCCTCAGTACTGCAAGGCAGCAATCATCGGTTGTCTTTTCCTACCCCAACGGCTGCGAGCGATCCATATCTCTCAACTGGTAGAAATACGATTCAACCGTGACCGCCCGTGACATTGGTTTGCCTGATCGGGAGGTGAAGCTAAACACCACAGATCCCACGTTCTGGCGGGGGGGGGGGGCTGACCTGGAAGAGCAGCTCCTTGATGCGCCGGTCGGCCTTGCGCAGGTTCTTGGAGGCCTCGCTGTGGCGGCGCTGCTCGTGGTCCAGCTCCGACTCCAGCGCGCGCAGCCGCTCCTCCAGCTTGGCGATTGATCGTGCGGCCGTTCTGTGGACGGCAGAGCACGGCCGTCGGATCGCCGCCAAAGGCCCGGCGGCTAGCACGGTCAGCGGAGCTCCGCCAGGGGGCACAGGCCGGAGGCGCCGGCCGGGTGCGAGCGAGGGCAGCAGGCCGGTGGCCCAGATACAGAAGGATGCAATCGAACGTGGTGAGATCCCTTGCCGGGCCGCTGAAAGAATTGTCGTGCTCCGCTAATTTTCCGTGATCAGTCATCCGCAGATGTTACCGATAACATATGTGGCCCTCATTTTACTTAACATCGTAGTTCTTATAGCCAGGCTATGAGCACAGCTTGCATTCATTGTCCGCTGAAGCATAACGCAAAGTAACGCAAAGTGTCGGCTCCTAGCAGGTCAGGTCTAGACATACCGAGATCCCCCGAGCCTAACTTGGTGACGGAGTCACCAATTTCCCCTCGAGAAGTTGCCTTGGAGTTCCTCTTTGTCTACCACTACCGGCAGCTGTTCAGCATAATCCGTTGTGTCCTTGAGCTGACCTTGATAGCGTTGGCCTCGGCCTCATCCAGCCGGATCTGCAGGTTCCTTGACGGTGAGCTCCATGGACTTGCGGGCCTGCTCCTGCTGCTGGGCGTTCTCCTGCTCAGCACGCAGCTCGTCCGCCAGTCTGGGGACGGAACGGGGGCGGCTCTGAGCTCCACAGGGGACGGGGCGGCTCTGAACTCTGCGGGGGACGGGGCGGCTCTGAGCTCCACAGGGGACGGGGCGGCTCTGAGCTCCAAAGGGGACGGGGCGACTCTGAGCTCCACAGGGAAGTTTGACGGCGTCTGACGTGTCCACCGATAGCCGGGGTTTCTCATCTAGATCAATACGTTATCGCGTACACACAGATTCTTTATCACAACATCAGGCCTCCTCATTGCACTCAACAAGCGTAGCCTGTATGTTCCTCCATGCCGACGTTGGCCTTCCGATCTTGGCTTTAAAGTCCTGGCGCCTGGCTTCATCTATTTCTTCTCCTCCCATCCTATCTCTTCCCAGATCTCTCTCTTTCCCATTTAACCCCAGCTCCGCCTTGCTATCTCTCTCTGTATATGTTTCCGCTGGCCATCTCCTCTCGCCACCTTCAGTTCCGTCTACTTTCCTCTCCTCTTTCCTGTCGCCCCTCCCCCCCCCCCACCTCGTCGCCCCTCCCCTTCCCCTCTCCGAGCCCGCCTCACCTGGCGGCGTCGATCATGGCCTTCTTGGCCTTCTCCTCGGAGGTGCGTGCCTCGTTCAGCATCTCGTCCAGGTCGACATGCAGGGAGCCCACCTCCTCTTCCAGCTTACGCCGCAGCGCAGACAACGCTGTTGTAGTTGCTGGACACCTCCGTCAGCTGCTGCTGCACGTCGCCCAGCTCGGCCTCGGCCTGTGAAATCACAGGTGGGGGGAGGGGGGGAAGGTCAGATCCGGCAGGTCTGCTTGGGCGTTCGCATGGAAGATATGCCGCAGTCCGACTCCTTTCGAATAAAGGCCGTGTTTCTGATGGGAGTTGTGAAGCTAGAGGAAACGATTGTGTAAGTGGCGAAAGGGCACTCATCGCTCGAAGCCATCTGACAATCAAAACGGCAGATGTCGCTATTTCAAATAACTTTGTGACATCACACAACCGTTATCACATTAACCGAGTCAACCAGCCACCCCACTTCCCTGCATCCATCCGACCGCCGTCTGCTACCATCAGCCTCCTCTGCGACGTCGGCCGACTAAATTGTCGGCGGACGCGGTCGGCCTATTCTCCTGACCCCCTCCATGACCTCCGCCCTCGTTGACCTCCGTCATCCCTGACCTCTGCCTTCCCTGACATCTGCCCCAGTAACCTCTGTCCTCCCTGATCTCTGAAAATATCTGCCCCAGTAACCCCTGTTTCCCCCGTCCTCTTCCTTCCCTTGCCTCTGCCCTCTCTGACCTCAGCCCTGTGGTGACGTCGTCAGACTGACCTGTCGGCGGCCGCGGTCGGCCTGTTCCAGCAGGGTCCGGCTCTCCTCCAGCTCGCCGTGCAGGGCGTTGGCGCGCCGCTCCGACATGCCCAGCGCCTCGCGCACCTCGGCACGCGCGCGCTCCTCCTCCTCCAGCTGCACTTGCACGTCCTTCAGCTCCATCTGCACCCGCTTGATGGTCTTCTGGCTCTCCATGGTCTCGATGTTGGCCCGCTCCACCGACACCTCCAGCTCGTTGATGTCCGTCTCCAGCTTCTTCTTCATCCGCATCGCCTCGGCGCGGCCCTTGGCCTCGGCCTCCAGCGAGGCCTGCATGGACTCCATCTGGCGTTGGTGGCTCTTCCTGGATGGCGTCAGAGAAGACGGCGGCGTCAGGGAAACAACGAATGTGAGCGTACCAGAACAGGTCAGTTAGCTGTTCTCGCCTCGTTCACGTCAAAGATTGCTGACGCTTCCGAAGAACTATGTTGGTATGCGAATGCATGAAAGGTAGTCATCTCAGGATGAAACCCGGATACTTGACCTTTCTATGGAACGATATTTCTTTGCGGTGGTGAAGCCTAGGCGTTGAGGTTCTTAAACGTTATCAGACGTGTGGAAACCTGTCTTTGAAGAAGAAAACGCCCGAATGAAAGTCATGCTAAAACGCTCTGTGCCATTCAGTCCCACAGCCACGTCTCCACACACCAAGCCACAAATCCCACCACCTTGTCCGCCCACGCTCTCACGCAGTCAATGACCCCACTGACCTGGTGTTCTCGAACTCCTCCTCCTTCTCCTGGATGCGCCTCTCGATCTCCTGTCGCGCCTGGCTCAGCTCCAGCTGGCCGCGCAGCACCTTGTTCTCCTCCTGCTCCAGCGCGCTCTCGGCCTCCTCCAGCGCCGACTGCAGCTCCTCCTTCTCCTGCTCCACCCGCTTGCGCAGCTTCTCCACCTCGGCCAGGTTGCGGCCGCCCTCGGTGATCTGGTCCATCAGGTCCTGGAGGGCACAGCACATATGTCTTGTGATGTACAGACACGTTCTCAAAGTAGATGACAGCGAAAAGCGTTGTAGATGATAAGAACACTGCGCGTCATATCTATAGGTGCGCAGCGTCATCATCCTATGACGGTAGCTGCGCAACCGGCAATCAAGATAGCATGTCAGCTCATCATAGGCGAATAGGCATCGTCACTAAAGAATGCACACCCGCTAAACAACATAAACTTCAGCGAGTCATTTGGGATTTTGAGGACCACGTTTCTGGCGGAAGAGTTTTACGCTACAGGCAGGTCCTGACGCCAATTACACGCAATCCTAGCGGTGTCAGACTACCGTACCAACTGGGCGTCCGTTCAAGGACAGCGGGATTCAAATCGGAGACCGATCACGTGGCTCCGGCATGGCCTTGACCTCACCTTGACCTCGTCGGCCAGGCTCTTGTTCTCGCGGCGCACGGCATCCAGCTGCTCGACGCCCTCATCGTACGCCGACCGCACGCGGAAGAGCTCGGTGCTGTAGTTGCGGCAGTCCCGCTGCGAGGCGTCCAGCTCCGCAGCGACGTCGTCCACCTGCCGGGGGACGGGCAGTGTTCAGTGTTGAAGGTCGGTCGCTAGATGACAGATATGGCCAGGTGAAGGGAATGCGTTTTTTCATCAGACGTGTAAATATAGAAAAAGAAACAGTGAGATGAGATACGTTTCGCCTCAGCCGTAGTTTCCAATCGCTCTTCTGTCCTGCTGACTCTTCCAACCTGCCGAAATGTGTTTACAAAACAATTTTTTTCTCCACAGTAAACAGACAAAATCGCGAACATAAGAGACGATTCTCCATAACGTAACCAACACACGGTCCATAACCATCCACACTCCCAACGTACCTTCATCTTCCACTCGGCGATGATCTTGTCGAAGCCCTTCGCCTTCTTCTCCATCTGGGCAGCCAGCTGCTGCGCGCGCTCCACCTCCACGTGCATCTCGTCGATCTCACCCGTCAGCCGGGTCTTGATCTTCTCCAGGCTCATGTTCTTCTGGTTGAGCACCTCCAGCTGCTCGGTGGCCTCCTGCAGGCGAACGGCCAGCTTGCGGCGCTGCTCCTCCAGCTCCTCAGCCCTGCGACGAGGTCACGGGGTCATGATGGGTGTCACGGGATCAGCTTCACAGGGTCTTGGTCCGTGTCACCGGGTCAGGAGGGCATCTGGTCGGCATCCTTTGATGGGTCAAGACTGATGTGTTGTTGTTGACCCTTCGCTTCATTGGCATAAAACGCTAATGCATGGACAGGAATTAAGTAAGAAATTCAGGGCATATAGATTTTGGTCCACCACATATAACGCATGGAGAGGCCGCTTATGAAGGAGAATGCACTCTGGCCGACAGCATCACGCAGGGACAAGAGAGCACGTAACCTGCAGCAGGCTCACGCCGGTTAGCACCACGTGGTGCACTGGGAAGCCGCCACACGGCATTTACAAAACGAGGGCAGCTCAGGAAACTCAGTCGGCTGATCATGGTAGACACCGCTGCGCTACCAGATGTGGTCTGGCAGCGCAGTCGACAGATCACGGTGGACACCGCTGCGCTACCATATGCGATCTGGTAGCGCAGTCGGCAGTTCGCAGTGGACATCGCTGCGATAGCAGATGTGATATCTGTTCCAGATCGCTACCAGATTCGATCTCTCACCTGGCGATGCCTTCCTGTTCGTATTTGTTGCGCCACAGCTGAGCCTCAGCCTGAGCCTTGGCCACCTGGCGAGCCAGGTCCGACTTGAGCTCAGCCTCCTCGTCCACCTGTGGGCCAATGAAAACGTGTGACCATCGGCCGCAGGCCAATCAGGTCTAGTGGGGGCATATGAGGACCACTTGGATGTCGAGTCGGTCACCTGAGATCCAATCAGATCTACATTTTATACACGTGCGAATCTAAGGTCCTAATCGGGGACTGGTTTTCATGCTTTCTTGCCAATGACGCAGGTAATAAATCTGCTTGTTATAAACGGTTTCCGTTTGCACGCCACCGATAACGCAGAGAACACACATTTGGTAGCCCGTTTCACTTATTTGTCCTCTCCAACTCCCGCCAAAAATATGCTCATTGATTTGACGTTGCAGGGTCACACTATTCCAGTTCCCTGAAGCTAATAATCACTAATTTTGAACCTGTCCGTTCTTCACGCGCTTTCCAGTGCCGTCCTCTCCTGACAGCAAGATCTCCTGGCCCGAGTCTCCCCTCCCCATGCCCACGCAGTCGACCGGCGCATCCCTGTCCACCGCCGCCTCCGTTACCCTCGCCAGCTCCGCCACTGCCAACGGCCGACCGGTATAAGAGGCTCCTTTCCCCTATTAAAACGTCAATGGTTCAAACCCCGCCGCGGGAGCGTTTCTTTTTCCAGGCTCGGCTGTCACCAAGGATGGAAAGTCCACGACATTGGCCCCCTTCAATCGTCCACAAGTGACCAAACCAGACTGGGGCGTTGTCGAGCGGGACTGGCAGGTCAGGATGACCGCACCCACCTGCTCCCGCATGGAGTCGATGTCATGCTCGAGGTTGCGATATTTGCCCAGGATGGTGACCCGCTCGCGCGCCTCCTCGTCGCACAGCCGGTTGCAGTCGTCCAGCTGCGACTGCAGCGTCACCTTCAGCTTCTGCAGCTGGGACACCTGCGACTCGGCCTCCTCCAGCTGCCGGCGTTAGCGGAGATGTCAGCGATGGTGTCCGTGTGGGCGTCAGCGGGCAGGAGGTCAGGAGGTAATCAGTCAGCAAAGGTGGCGCAGAATCAGCGCGGCGGGTGGCGCGAGGCGCTATAAGGCCAGCCAACAGAACGCAGAACGGCCTGACCGGCCGCGACTCGGGGTCACGGCATGCTTCTCAGCAAAGTTTGTCTCACACATATCGGTCTCCGTGGTCCGAGCTCCCTACCACAGACTACGTCACCAGCACACATAAAGAGTTGCTGCTCGCACCTTACAAAGCACTTAAGCATGCGCTTGCTTTTTTCCAGGAAAACTCCGCGATTACTTCCACCCCTTGCAATAGACATCATTCTCGCCGCGACGCCACATATCCATGACCCCTCCCCCCCCCCCTCCACACACGCCAACATCACAGCGCGACCCACATCCAGACGACTGTCGGTGACCCCCCCCCCCCCCCCCCGAGCCCCATGCCCCCGGCCGACCTGGTGCAGGAGGTCGGCGTTTTCAAACCGACAGCTTCTTCTTGGCCGTGTCGAAGTCGCCCAGCGTGCGGTTGGCCTCCTCCAGCTTGCCGTTGAGGTTGGTCAGCTGGTCCTGCAGGCCCTTAGTCTGCTTCTCCTCCGTCGCCTGGCGTGCACACGGACGGGTCATGCGTGCGCAGCGGCACGAGTGGTCGGCCGGCGCCGGCGGCCGCGCCCTGCAAACACTAGTCAGCGGGCGGGTCCGCGCCATGTGGAGCGATACTGCACGACCTCGTCCGTGCATCGACGTGGGCGCTTTGGTCGGGAGTTGTTGCTGCAGCGGATGCGCACTGTTCGTGTTTAGTTGTGTTGATCTGTGCCGAGTCCCCGCGTTATTTCTAGCTTGGCACGTGTGTGTGCTCCTCGTCCAAAGGTTAATGTGTGGCAATTGCCCATAAACAATACCATTAGAGCGTATTTGATGAGCGCGACGATGCATATTTTCTGACACCAAACCAGCGTATGCCGTTAGATCGCGTACAAACGCTGTTACCGCACAAGAAGATGGTAAAAAAGATCGAGCAGCGTTGGCAGGTAGCCTGTGAGGAAACATGCTTCAAACGTTTAGTGACGTAGTTCGATCAATTGCGTGATGTTGTTAACACATAAATGGTGAGAAGCTTTTCTCCGCATTGCTGTACAGTCAGTTTACCCGGATCAGCGTTTAAAGATAAGTAATAAAGCGCATCCACAAGAGTACGCTAGAAAAAAGACACAAAAGTGCACGGTTAAGTTACGTTAAAACAAAGTGGTGTTCATCAGCTGGAAAAGAGCGAAAACGCCTTCCGAAATCCTGAAAACAAATTACATTTTTGCACACAGCAGCATAGTCAAACGCATTCCAGGTGCAAGCGTGCATGCAGGCTCGCTTTGTGTTGCAGGTGTTTCGGCGCTCAAAAGAGCTGAAGTTTACCGTAAGCTGTCTTATCCGATCAAAAGCTTCTCGGTAACTCTCAGCCTCGCCGCGAAGCTCGTGCGTGTGCCTTTCTACGCTAAAAGAAAGGCGCAAAGGAAAATGCTGAAAAATACACCTCCCAAAAACTGGAAAACAAAAATCACCAGCACAAAAAGGCGGCGGGAGATCTGAAAACGGCCTGGACGAGGCGTTAGTTGGAGCGCACGGTCAGCTGTGGCGCGACGCCAGCTGACAGCGCGGAGGCAGCGCCATCTACCTTCTCGGCGTTGGTCTGATCGAGCGCGAGCCTGAGTTCCTGAGCCTCGCTACTGAGGGCGTCGCCCTCGCGCTCGGTCCTGCAACGGGGCCACACTCATGCAGGGGGGACGTCGACCGGGGAGGGCGAAAGGTCGCGACCGGGCACCGCCAGGGTCGCGGCCGGGCACGAGCCGCTCACAGGGTGACGTCACCACATCCACAGGGGGTCAGGGCGGGGGGGGGGGGCACTCCACGCGAGGGTCTCTCCGCTCGGCGGTTCTGTGGGCAGGGGGGGGGGGGGGGGTGAACGGACAAGGCGGCTACCTTCTCGTTGTTGATGTGCTCAATGGCCATGCGCACGTCGTGCGCCTCGGCCGTGTAGCCTTGGCGCTCCTTCTCAATCCTGGACGGCGGCGCGCGCAGTGAGGAGGCAGACACGCACCGCCCAACTACACCCGACACGCAATCCAAACATCTACCAGGTGCGGTCTCTGCACTGCGCCGGGCATCGTCCAGGCGTGCATGGAAATGCGAAGAGCGGACTGCTCTCCGTCTCATCTACGCCGAGGAAGCCCTCTGAACCACTATCAAACCTATGTACTACACTGGCTCAGAGGCTCGAGTGAAGGTACGACGGGCGGGATATGCTCACTCGACGGGTAGACTACTACCTACCACATCAGACCTAGTCGTAGCTGAATCCACTTCTTGCTGCCTGACAGCAGCCTAACTACACTACCGTACACTACCCGCCTCAATATTTTAGGAGCATTCGCGCCCGCCTCCCCCAGAAGCGGCCTCCTCCCGCCGAGGCTAGAGTCGACCGAGGTGCCGGACCCGCGCGGGGGCACTCACTTCGCCTTGGCCTTGCTCAGCTGGTCGATCTGCTCGGCCATCTCGGTGATGGCGTCGTTGTGCTTGCGGCGCAGGCCAGCCAGGGTCGTCTCCTGCTGGATGTTCTGCGGACACAGGCACGATGGTGACGTCGCAACGCGCGAGTGGCGTCATTCTTCACCGAATTGCGTTCATGACAGGTTGAAGATGTTTTTCAACAGGAATATACCTGCATTTAGAATTTTTAAGACAAGAGCATTAGTATTACCTGGAAAACCATGAAAAAGTGGTACGTATGTGCATAAAGTGGTAGACGCTTTCTCAGGATGCGATGGCATGTTCAAAACTTGCATCATACATGTAATCATTTTTACAGTACACCTTAAAAGCTGTCACTGCTGAGACAGATGCCCCCCCCCCCCCCGTCCTGATTCAGTGATGCTCGCCGCATTAGTATGCTTCGAACTTTAAGCTGAGCTTGACGGACAGATCCCAGTGAGCGCAAGCGACTACCATGGAAACCAAAACAATAGCTTTTATTTCGCCCGGAAGATGGCAGTACCTGCTCCTCAATGTCGCGGCGCAGCTTGGCAATCTCGGTCTCGCGCTTCTTGTTGAGCTCGATCTGGGCGGCGGTGGCGCCACCTGCCTCGTCCAGGCGCTCGCTCAGCTCCTCGAGCTCACGCGCCTAGAAGTGTATCATCGTCATCAACACGCCATCAATAGGTGCTGGTAACGCGTGCGATTTGTCAGCGTGCAGCGAGATGGCAACAAGCTACGGTTGGATCGTAATAGGTTGGGGCAACTTTATCAGCTCAGCTACCAACCGATTTTAGAAAACAACACTCCTAGCCGCAGTCCACCGACATTAGCGGTTACAGGCGTCACTAAACGGGCGTCTGCAAGCAAGGACGCCGCGCATATAAATAACTAACGCCGCTGAACATTACGTAAGTTGTTCAGTGCATTCGCGAGGAACATAAAACACATAGATAAGACAGTAGTGATAGCCCAGTAGTAATATTAGACAGTAGTAATATTCTTTCGAGAAAAACCAGGGTATATATATATATATATATATATATATATATATATAACTTTTCTTTGACATATGATATATATTATATATATATATATATATATATATATATATATATGTGTGTGTGTGTGTGTGTGTGTGTGTGTGTGTATAAGTCAAATATAATTGATAAGCAGCGGTCAAGACTGACCAGATCGGCGCGCTGCTTCTCGGCCTTGGCGCGCGCCTGGCGCTCTGCCTCCAGCTCCTCCTCCAGCTCCTCGATGCGGCCCTGCAGCTCCTTGATGACGCGCTGCAGACGCGTGACCAGCGCCTGCTCCTCCTCCAGTTTGGCTGAAGCGTGCGGGGCGGGGATGTCACGGCAGGTCATGCTACATGAGCTGAGGTCGGAGCTCAGTGGTGGACCGGAAACGATCGGCAACTCGTGAAGAGTACTGAACACATGAATTTCTTCCCAGGTCGGTGTGGGGGGGGGGGGGGGGCGGGTAATAGTTCTGTAAGAGCGCAGTTATAGTTGCAACCTGTCAGAGCACAACATGATCTACGACACCCTTCGCTGGAGGATTTCCTTGGGCGCCATATGGCCAAACATCCAAACCGGCCTGAATTCATAATGATCGTCACCAGCATCGCAGGAGGTTCGCACGTGGGCGGCACTCACAGGAGAGCTGGCCGATCTCGCGGTCCTTGCGCTGGATGGTCTGCTCGAGCTCGCGCTTGTTCTTCTCCAGGTCGGCCACGGCCTCCTGGGTCAGCTTGAGGTCACCCTCCACCTTCCTCTTGGATTTGTCCATCTCGGCGCGCGTCTTCTTTTCGCGCTCCAGCGAGTCCTCCAGCTCGTCCAGCGTCTGCTCCAGCTTGGCCTTGACCTTAGTCAGGTGGCTCACCTTGTCCTCCTGCGTGCCGAAGTCCTCGGCCGTCTTCTGCTGGTTCTCCTGCGGAAGAGGCGCACGAGCGTGATGTCAGAGATGTGGAGTTAGCCGGGCAATCACGTCACTGTCATAGACACTTCCAACACCATGAAGCCTTCCTGGCTTCGCCATTCTGGTCACGTGTGCCGAATAAAAAGCAGAAGGCCGATGTGTCTAACAACGTATTCTAATCCATGGAAATGTGGGCAAAACCAAATCCCAAAATAAGTAAATATTGTCATGCGAATAGTGTGACCATCGCAAAAAGCGGGCCAATTTGCCAGCTTAAACCGCTGTACGACTGCCGAACACCATCGTCCAACCTTGCTTCCAGGTATTCGCCACCGCTAAACACACAACAGCGGAGGCTTGACAGCGATTGAGAGCAGAATCCTGAGAACTGTGGGACGCAATAAGATTCATCTAGAAATGCAGCATTCACATGTGCCGTTACTGAGACTATACCTAGGCTTTTAATAAGCTTTATGTCGTGTACCAAAACCCCCGCCCATCCACATCCCAATAGCCAGCCCGTGTCGCTGGCCCTGAACATCATCCTCATCACGCACCTGCAGGCGCTTCTTCTCGCGGTTCAGCTTGTTGATGACGTCATCCTGCTGGGCGATCTCGTCGTTGAGCGTGCGGATCTGGTGGTCTTTGGAGGTCTTCTCGCTCTCGAGCTTCTTGGCGCTGTTCTGCATGTCATCGAGGTCCTTCTTCATGCTACCCATCTCGCCGTCCACCTTCCTCTTTTCCTGCGCCAGCTGCTGGCGGGCCTGTTCCTCGACGGCCAGCCGCTCCTGCGCGTCCTGGGGTCAGAGGTCAGCAGAGGTCAGAAGTAAAGTCCGGCTAGGTGAGAAGCGAGATCAGGTCAAAGGTCAGCACAGGCCACAGGTGTGGACCTGCCAGGCGAGGAGTGCGGTTAGATAAAAGATCAGGACTGATGAGAGGGGCTGAGGCCAGAGGCCATCAAAGGTGGGAGGTGAGTTCAGGCCTGCTGAGAGGTAACAACGGACAAGGGGGGAGCTGAAGTCGAAGGTGAGCACAGGCTAGGGAAGAGTTCATGTGTCTGTCCTCAATTTCTAAACGTCCTGGGGATCAGTGGTCGGCATACGTCAGTGGTCAGGTAAAATCAGAGGTCGATGAGGAGTTCGCTCATGTTTGAAGTGAATAGATGTCAGCAAATTTCACATTGGTCATAATAGTTTGGGTGTACGTATATCAGAGGACTAGAGAACAGGAGCGATCAATTTAATAACAAGGTTGTGCATATATATATATATATATATATATATATATATATATATATATATATATATATATATATATATATATACATATACACACTGGAGCCAAAAGTCCTCACTTTAGAGACGACGAGGTCACTGTGATGTCACATCTGAGTTTATGTAAAACTATTGCTATTAGCATGCGTGCTGATTCACATTTCTTTTTAATTTCTTCGTTTTCATTTGAATAAGTATTTTCGGTTAAAAGCGCATCAATCATTTGTGGCTCTCGCCCGGCAGTTGCGCGGCCATGAAGTCCTTGATCGTTGGTCACGTCATTTCGCTAACGCAAGAGCAATTTGTCGTGTTCTTGGCAGCCTTCATAATGCTCTTATCGAAAAAAAAATGTGACGTCAATAAATATTTCGTTGTTGTTTAACAGCACCGTCAAAAGGTAACTGTGAGTTTCGCCTTTTTGTTCACCAGTGCCGACCACTGAGCCCGCTGACAAGCCCGCGGGACTGCATAAAACCCCGTGATTCGATTTGACAGCCTCATCATGGGCTTCCGACATCTTTTGAACGCTAGCCGTCAGCATGACATGGGAAGGGCAACTTCAAGACCCCGTCTTTCGGTGAGCCATTCCCAGCGCTGGCGACTAACCAAGTGCCTCCCGGGGCGGCCATTTTCCGCAGGCCTTTACTGCCACCTTTTGCGAGGCCGGGCTGCATTTCACTCAGCGGGCCTTTGCCTGCCACATTTCAGGCCAAGGAGTTGCTTGCTGTCAGACAAGAGGCATCCATTCTTGAAGCGTGCCGGCAACCCCCGACGTGCCGCCACGCCCCAAGTCGCCGCCGGCGGGCGGCTCGGAGGTGCCGCTCCGCTCCCGCTGGCGAAACTGGAGCACTGGCCTCCGTACACGGACTGCGTCCGAAAATACCGGCTCGCAGCCTCGCCGTGATTCAGCCACCCGCCGGCACTATTTTTACCCGCGCCGAATGATCGAAGCCGACTGTTCGGCGGCCGCGCTCGCCTCGGCCACTGGCGATCGGGGAAACGCCGCGGGCGATTCTGCTCCGCGGCGGCCGGCTGACAGCCGCGGCGGTCCGCCGGCGGCTGCTTGTTTATCGCCGGATGCGCGACTTCAAATACAGACGGGCTCTGAGATAAACGAGCCCGCAAGTCGCCCCCGACGGCTCGGCAGCCGCTGGCGACGCGTCCTGGTCGGCAGAACTGCACGAGGAGCAGGGTTCCCGACAGGGCTTATGGGGCGGTAGCCGCCGGGTGACAGTGGTGACATCTGTTGACGGTTCACGCAAGCGCGAGATCCGCTGACAGGTGTTGTGACTGCAATGACGTTGAGGGAACCAGGCTGTTCGGTTGACATTCTCAGCCTCTCAGTCACATCATTTAACAGCTGTGATATTAAACTGCTCGACGGTAATCAGCCAAACATAAAGATGCTCTTATTCCATCAAAAATTGTGGCCGAAGAGTCGGCGTAGACTTACGTCGGTTTTGCAATTGCAAGACCGTTGCAGTCGCGGATACCACGTCCGTGCGCACATCATTTGATTGGACACCGCACAGGTGGTCTATCCAGCCCGATACGTGTCTTATTTGCGTAGCACAAGCGTCTTGAATAATGATAAATCACGCGCTCCGAGCATCACTCAGAAGTCATCAGCATATTGACCAGTGATGTGATCAATCACCATCGATTCACTAGAACGTCAACATCAGGTCACTTAAGTGTCCGTTATGCCATTAATGTCATCAAGAGGTCACTAAAACTATCGGTGGACAGCACTCATGTCTAGGCTTACTCTAGATCGTAAGGATGTAGTTTACTATTCAATTGGGAAGTGGGGCTCTAGCCCCTTAACTTTGAAAAGAGAGGGGCCCAATCGGACAAGAGCGACGTATTTTCTACATTTTCAGCGTACGTTTAGCTATTTTTCTCTGCTCAGCCCCACACTCCCCATAATGCATGTTTATAAACCACACCCGTGGTGGGCGCCCAATAGACCGTATACACGTCACCACTCGGTCACCACCAGGTCATCAGCAGGTCACCAGAAGGTCGCCGGTACGCCGTCGACGGCTGAACACAGCGGTCGACCGGCATACGGCTGCCAAAGCACCATAAAATCGCTACGAGCTCACCGCCATCAAACCACGCCTGTACTCACGTTGAGCTGGGCCTCGAGGTCGGCCTTCTGCGCCTGCAGCTTCTGCTGCTTGGCGATCTCATCGCCCATGGAGCCGCGCTCCGACTCAAGACGGGACACCAGCTCATTCTTCTCCTGCAGCAGCTTGATGTTCTTCTCCTCGGCGTCCTTCCGCTGCTTCAGCTCCACGTCCAGCTTGGCGGTGGCCGCCGCCGCCTCCTCCTCCAGTCTCTGCGGACGGGGGTGAGTTGGGTGACGGGTTCGTGGAGAACGCTGGCAGCTGTCGGGCGATGTTGACAAGGGATGTTTGAACGACACGTTCCAAACGTGATGCGAGGGATAATTTATCCACATGAGGACAGCCGTTGCGATTCATGTCTGGTGTTGGCATTCCGTTTGGGCTGTTCCGCTGGGAAGGTGTTCTTCGTGCGGATGACGGTTTCGCCAACTTAGGTGCAGCGTGAGTGCGTTTGACCTCACGAGACAGACGGGACTAGTGCATGCATCGCCAGGAGATAGGTCAGGAGATAGGTCATTTCAGCCAGGAGATAGGTCATTGCACTTATCTTATCGACAGGCAAGCCAAACGCAGTTTTGTGGTCTTGAAAAGATTCAACACCCGTAAAGGGCTTCAAAAGAAACTTTTTAAGGTATGCTCATTTTTAGAATCTTCCCACAAGCTACAAGTACTGGCGAAGACAAAACTTCTACACCAAACAGCAAAAAAAGACGTAACGACATTAATCCACAATTGTTCGCAACCAAACTGACCCATTGGAACAACCCGCATAATTTGTTTACCGAACTGCCGGAAAGGCCTTTGCACCACTGCAGCGCACTGTATGAGGGTGGCTTTAAAATGGTCTTGCCATTGCAACTGCACCGCACTCAAAACGTTTACCGCCATAGCATTGGACGGCGTGGTGAACAGATGAAACAACGCTGCTTTTCAAAGCACAACCACATTATGTTACCATTGCGTAACCACTGATATGATGTAGGGAATTTGTTTCTGGTCCCAGTAGTCAAACGGAGGGATCGATGGCAAATAATGAAACCCTTCGAGCAGAAGAAATGAACCAGTTCAGATCACCATATTAGCCGACCGAAAATGTCCGCATGAACTGCATGCTGCTTAAAGTTGACGGAATGCTACCCAAATTGAAGTAGTCGTCTGAGATGAGGACCAAACTAGAAACTGATGAGTTGATGATAGTATCTAAACAACAGATAGCGTTGTACGGAACGTATGGACGGCACATTGTGGTGCAATACGGACTATACCTCTCAAATTTTTCGCAAATTGAAGGTTTTTATGGAATGATGGCACAATGGCAAAAATAAACCTCTCGCTAAGTCATGGATTTACACGAAAATCAGCTTCGATATTTTAAAAATTGGCAAGTTTGGAATTTTAAAAAGCAGAATTCAGGTAGGCGATGTGGAGTATCCGCCAAAGTCCGTTCCGTCCTTGATTCAAGCCACCACCTTGCATACATCCATGTTTCCATGCCACGACAGCGGGAGTCGTGGGAGGGACTGGCGGCACGACGCACCACCATCAGCTCACCCAACTCGCGCTGCTCACTCGACACTCCGCCTGAACTCGGGAGCACGCGACACTCCACGACGACCCGCGACCACGACAACCCACGGCAAATCCGAACAGCCACACTCCGGAGAAACCACAGACGCACGGCCGCCTCGCCGCCGCCTTCCCGTTACCTTTCTGCGGCCATCGATCTGGCTGAACCACTCGTCGTACCGGGCGACGGCCCTCGCGGACGCCCGCCTCAAACTCCTTGATATCGGGCAGCATGGCTGGGCGGGGAGGGGAGGGGACCGACACAGGAGCTCGGGCGCTGCGCTCCGGACCGTTCGACCGGCAGAGCGGGACGAGTGTGCCGCACGGCCTGGGCCGCCGCGCCCGCCGCCGCCGCCGCCGCCTCCGTCGCCGCCAGGGGGCTGAGTCAGCCTGGGGCGGGGCCCCATTTTTGGAGGGTGGGGACGGGCGTGCTCGTGAGGGGAGGTGGCGTGCGCTTGACCGTGATGGCCGTAGGTGGGGTCCGTTTGGCTTCGCGCGATGCCTTGCCCCAGCCCCAGTCCCGGAGTTGTTTGGACCCCCGTTAATTTTTGAAGCCGTTTCAAACGAACAGCTATAAATGCTAAACAAGACCACAACCTTGTCCTCCCTGTTAAGGGCATTATCACATCGGGGCAAAACAATACCTCTTGTTCGGAGCATTTATTTGGTACACGTTTATCTATTGGCATTTAGTATCTTTTTCATATATGTTTGGGCCTCCTGATGAGACTCCTGAAGCTCCAGCTGCGGTGTTCTCTAAAAGGATGTCCGTCATTGCCAAGACCGTCGCCCTTTTGTAGTGCTTAGTGGATGAGCTCACTCCAATCGTTTAAGAGTTAGATTCAAAATTGTGGTCATCTGGCAAAGAGCGGGACTAGATTTGGTTGAACTCGGCATCTTTTGGGCGGGCATACTTAGGGCGTGTGGCGTATAGCCAGAAGATTCATAGAATAATGCCATGTTTCCATGCATGTGCAATTCTGGACACAGTGGAGAATTTCCGCGTGAATCGATGGGAATCAGTGCAAAGATTGAAACAGAACAAAATGTTTTTGGAACGAAGCTTTTTAAAGCTGGTACTCGGTGGCAGGATTAATCGACTGAAGAGATGGAATGTTTCAGGGCAAATGGTTATCTAACCAGCTTTATGTCGAAGATGTCTCTCACATTGAAGTTGGATGTTATAACAGAGTGCAATGTTTTAATAAATATCAAATCCGCCGGAAACCGTATTTTCCCCAGAACAATTAACAAGTTTGTTCTCCGTCGCAAGCAGCGTGCTTCTCTCTAGCCCGTCGCTGTGCTTCTAACCAGGTGCATCATTCAGTGCGGTCATCATCAGCATAAACTTGCGTAGAGAGCCAAGTAAAGTTTACACGCCCAACAGCGGTGTCTTTCAACATGGCAGCATCTAACCACCCAGTGACTTCAAGTGACGACACGCATTGGCCCGGCTGCACCGCCAGGGAGCGGCACAGCACGCATCGTGTGCCATTCCTCAGCGTCACCGAGGCATGCCCCAGCCGCCATCAGCGCCACCTAGACGGCTGTGTTCGGTTCCGCGTTTGTACCGGCCGGTCGGCGGCGCCCGGGGCCAAAATAGCTCGCCCACCGCGGCCGTGACTCAGACTGGGGCGGCGCGAGAGGGCCACCGTCGGTCCAGTGCCGACCACTTCACCGTCCGTCAGTCGGTCATTGTGTGCATGGACGCCCCCCCCCCCTTCCCGCCGCGGCCTCAGGGGCTCGAGCGTGCAGGGCCACAGCGGCGACCGCGGGTGGGCGCCGCCGGCAGCCTCCTCCCCCCGCGGTCGAGCCGGAGGGGGTCGTCGCCACCGACGGGCGTCAGTGAAAACAGACCCCGGCACGTGGCATGCGAGAGCACGTGCAAAGAAACAGCGGCTGCCGTCGGCCGGGAGGCAGGCTGGCTTCTGGTGAGCCGCGCGGTTGACGTGCTCTGCCGCCACTGCCAGATGAGTCATGGCTTCGAGAGCCGCCGGCCGGCTTGGGTTACTCGTCTGCCTTCAAAGGCCGGCCGGCGGATCAAGTGGGCGCTGCGCGATGGCGGAGAGTGTGACGGCGCCTGATGATGTACGAGTGAGCGGGGCTTTGGTGCGCGTGTTTGTTGGTCTGATGTGCGGCTTTATGGCCCCGGCTCGGCCAGAAAGTCACGCCTCCGCGCCCCCTGGTGCTGCATCGAGGACCCGGTGATGCATCCATCGTCGCCTCGCCTTGCCTTTGTTTGTTTGTGCCTGCCCTTCCGGGTGCGACTAGCTCCGGCGAGGTGAAATTGGCACCGTCTGTTGTCCTAAGCAGTCATTTGGACGGGCACCAGCCCGTTGATCAGGGACGCGGTGCAGTACGCGACGGAAGACTGGCGGAGGCGACCACGGCGTCGACGGAAACATGGCCCGGCCGCGACGTCGGACAGACAGCCGCCAAGAGATAGACGCCCCGGCCCCCGCCGCGGAGACATCGGCTCAACTTGGCGTGAGTCCAGTGCCGCCGCCGCTCATCCCCACCCCTCGAGTGAGGCGCGCCGCCTCCGACCGTAGCCGTAGCGGCGGGCTCTCGCGTCGGTCGCCGGTCCGTAGCGGCGGGACAGCTCCCGTGACCCACCTTGAGCTCATCCTCGATGCGGGTCTCGTAGAGCATGGGGCGGACCTTGATCCAGAGGCGGAACCAGGCCCAGCCCTGCATCTTCATGTACTTGCGGACGGCGCGCTGCACGATCAGCAGCGACGCGCTGCGGATGAAGACGGAAGCTCGAGGCGACGTACGGTACGCACAATTCTCGGAAAACTCCGGTAAACACATGACGTTGTATGTTACACCTCCGGGTTGCATCGGAGTTGCATGAGGCAGAGAGGGGAGAAGGTAACAGTTGACATGATCAACATGGTCTTTGAAAAGAGGAAGAGGGGTCCAAATCACACCAGTTCGAGAAAATCCCTCCAAAGATAAGTTGACTCAACTGTTCTGCTAGTCGGACCGTCTCGGACCGTCCCGTCCTAGTCCCTGGTCCTGACCAATTCAAAACCAAGCCCAGTAACGTCGCAATCCAGGCAGCAAGACCCGGGGCCCGGTCCGTGACAGCAGCTCCCCCCCCCCCCCCTACCACCTCCTCCCTGCCTTATTCCCGGAGCCGGCGGCCCTCAGCGACCCCGCCCCGGCCCGAGACGTACCGCTGATCCTGCAGCTTCTTGTACTCGCGCTGGGCGAAGTAGCCGCGGATGGTCGCCTGCATCCAGGAGAAGATCTTGTTGAGCTTGTCATCTCGCAGCTCCTCCATGTCTCCAAGCACGCCGGCGCGGAAGAAGACCTGAGGTCACACCGCCAGGGGTCGGGTCGATGGGCAGGGCACGTGGGGTCCAGGTCACCTCACGTCAGGTCACCGGACATCGACTCACAGTAGCCAGGTCACTGGATGTTAGGTCAAAAAACGCATTAGCTCATTCCGTGTGAGTTAAGCTCACAAAACAGCTTGTATTCAGTAATTTACGTTGCGACATATAATTCCTTTTTTCTGGTGATCCTTTTGAAGCTCATTCGCAACGAAGGCGCAAAAACAAACAGGAAAACAGCAAGACATAATCACATATGTATACATATATATATATATATATATATATATATATATATATATATATATATATATATATATATATTCTGGGTACTATCTGCAAAAAATACAAATACGCTGAAAACTTCCGCCGCTGCCGGCAGCCGCAGGACGAAAACCTTGTCTGCGATTAAGATCCATCAAGATGGGGACCAGCGGCCACGCTACCTTAGTAAGCCCCAGACGGAACTTATCGGAGTCAAGGTCAATTTTCTTGAGGCAGACGTCACAGGCGTCACGGTCCTCCTTCTTCTCCTTCATCTCCTTGGGTGCCAGGATCACATAGCTTTGGGAGGGGCGGAGGGGTCAGACGGGGTCAGCTCACACGAACCGACCGGCGGGTCAGCTGAGGTTGCACGGGTCAAGAGCAGGTCACGCTGTGGCCGCACACGGTGGGGGGGGGGGCAGGTGGGTGTCTGGGGGGGGGGCGGGGGGGGGAGAAGAGAGCATACCGGTCGCATTTTCTCCGTCTCCTCCTGCGGGCGGGTCACGCCGAACACGTTCCTGAGTTTATAGGGGGGGGGGGGGGGGGGGGGAAGGGGCAAAGAGAGTGTGCGATACTGGGCATAACACGCATGTGCCTTCTACGAAGATTGGCATCTGCAAACGGATCACTCTGTGCACAGGTGGAAGGGGGGGGGGGAGCAGGCATACAGCGATAAAGAGATCAGCTGTGCCTGACACCCTCCTTCGCCGAAGTGGGGACATTCCAGGCTCTCTGTCCTCACTCGCGGGAGGCTCACAGACATCGGGTACAGCGGTGCACTTGGCCAGCGCGACGATCTGCTTCGTCAGATGCGGGGATCGACGAGGGGGGGGGGGGGAGGGGAGGGCGACCAGCAGGTCCGCTCGGGAGCCTCAGGGAAGGCCGCGCCGCCCCTGGCATCGAGTCACGCTGCCCCCTGATGGAGGGCATGCCACCCATCCGGAGTCGGGGAGCAGAGGGGGGGGGGGGGGGGGCGGGGGGGGACTGAGGCGTCACCTTCAGTCTGGTCAGATTCCCTGTCGGCTGCAACCATCCTGAGAGCTTGCAGGTCGTTCCGAATGCAAACAAGACAGAGAGACAACCGAGCGTTGGTGGAGGGTTGGGTTGCAGGGTACACCATACGGCGAGGAGGCGTGGGGAACGCCTGCGCAAGCTCCGCCCGTGCGGTGGTGGTGGGAGGGACAACCCAGTCCGGTCACCTTCGTCAGGCCCAGCCGGAACTTGTCGGGGTCCATCTGGATTATGGTCATGCACTTGTCGCAGGCGTCCCGACCCTCCTTGCACGCCTTCATCTCCTTCGGTGCCAGAATCACGTATCTACAGCGCCCCGGGTGAGTTATCACGTGTCGTGTATCAGTTGCGCAGCCAGGATCGCGTATCTACAGTGCCCTAGCCGAGTTATCCCGCGCACCGTCCGCTTCCGAGGTCCAGGGATCAAGTGGATGACCGCGGTCGCATTTGCACACAGCAAGGAGACGCCACGGCCGCAAACCGAGAGACGCTACGGCCGCAGGCTTGCAGACAATACGGCCACAGACTGGGAGACGCTACGGTTGCAGAACGGGAGACGCTATGGCCGCAGACCGGGAGATGTACGGCCGCAGAACGAGAGACGTTCGGTCGAGGAACGGGAGACGCTACGGCCGCAGAACGAGAGGCGTTCGGCCGTAGAGCGGGAGACGTTCGGCCGTAGAGCGGGAGACGTTCGGCCGTAGAGCGGGGGGCGTTCGGCCGCAGACCGGGAGGCTCTACGGCCGCAGACCGGGAGATGTACGGCCGCAGAACGAGAGACGTTCGGTCGAGGAATGGGAGACGCTACGGCCGCAGAATGAGAGACGTTCGGCCGTAATGCGGGGGGCGTTCGGCCGTAGAGCGGGGGGGGGGGGGGCGTTCGGCCGCATACACCAATGTCCGCCTCGCGGCAGACAGTCCGAGCACAACGACAGACAGCGAAACCACGGGGAAGTCGGGGATGCCGCCTTGTCCGACCGGCGGCATCAGGCACCTCCGCCGCTGAGCGGACAGCAGTGGGCGACAGAGGTCAGTGCATTGCCTGAGGTCGGAGCAGGTGAGTGCCAAGACAACACGGCCCAGTCCAACCCGCACGTGACTCACAACCTTGAATAAGCCACGATGTAAACTGCTGATTGGGTTCGCGCCAGTGGAAGTGAACGATGTTCGCCGCCTGAATCAGAGACAGTGATATACGACCCGCGCCTATCGTAAATATTTGAAGACACAACTGGATAATGACGAAGATGCCTCCACAGGCCAACACAATCCGTTTCTACGTCGCACAGCAAACGCTGACGCCATGGGGCCCCTGTTGCCATGTTTATGTCAAAATAAATTATTCTTCGTCATCGCCGAAAATGAATTTGATGACGAAATTGATGAACTGCCAGCGTAACAGCATTAATTTTTTGCGCATTTTTCCAGAATGCGCAAAACTTAACTGATTTTGATTTTTGATTAATCAGTTTCCTAATTCTATGAACCAGCAAAGAGAGCGGTTCAAAATTTCACTTCGGTTAAAACGGGAGGCGTAATGTCCCCGCAGTCCTCAGTGTTGACCCCGCTGCCATATGGGTCCCGTGACGTCATTCTTCTCTCCTCCCCGGGCCGGTCAGCGCGACGTCGGATGAGAACGCGCATGAGAACGCAGTCGAGCACGCAGCCGAGAACACCTCGCCACTTACCGGTGACGGAAGTCGTGGTACACCATGCGGTTGGGGAAAGCCCTTGCGACAGATACGGATGCCTTCCAGTACGCCGTTGCAGGTCAGCTGGTGCATCACCAGGTGGGAGTCGATGACGCCTGAGAGCGGCAGTCGAGGTCAGTGCCCATGCGGTTCAGCACAGTCAACAGCTATTTCGAACTGTCCTTGAGTTGTGGAGCTGACCTTTCTAGTTCAAAAGAGGAGCGCCGCGCGCGTCTTCGGGCATCCTTGTATGGAGCGTCAGCGCCTGCATGGGTCATATTAGCGCTCAGGGGCCATGACCCTAACCGGGATTCGGCCGGCGAAAGGTTAATGGCCCGGCGAACGCTGGAGCATTTTCACAAATGAGGCGCACTGGGCATCACTTGTTTTTTTTTGGGGGGGGGGGCACAGCTGCCATATCTTCGCAACCAAGGAGCTAACCGCACTTTAAGTTTTATTTATGATTATTATTAATATATTATGATATAATATAATATAATACAAAATATAATAATATATTAAATATTAAATATTATTACTTTAAAGACTGGTTTAAATTTCAATCGATGGCGTCAGAATTTGCATCTAGGTATATTATTTGCGTCGCCCTTCGGAGGCTTGTACCACGTGACAGCGTTGCCGCAGTGGAAGGACCCGGCGCCTTGGCCTTCCTGAGCCATCTGGTGAGCAAAAGAGCAGGAAAGTGACAACATTTGTTTTATTTCGCATCTGATAGGGGCAGAAAAAAAGCGCATGATATTGGCTCTTTCAAAAAAAGTTTTAAAACTTCTTTGGAGGACCTGATCCCCACATAACTTATTTTCGTTATCTTGACTCGAACAACAATTTTGCAAAAGTTAAAATGCTCGATTCCCTTTGGCGGCAATTAGGCGACATCTTGTATCTCGTGCCAGTTACTGGGGAAGACCGCTACGCGATGAAAGATGCATACAAAGTTGCATTAGGAAAATAGCAAGGTGACTTTGCCGATGGACCTAGTAGGTTAAATTGCTCGAGGCTTCACGCGACGGGCAGCTCGACGAAAACTTGAAAAAATCAAATCGAAAAATCAAAAAACAGGTTTAACATGACCACACACAGGTCATATCTGTTCTATTTATTTTCAGTACTGTATATGCCCTTCGATGAGGCACGGCACCCAGGTCCCTTCTAAAAAAAACTTTCTAACGATTATTGACATTGCATAAGACGACGGGTGGCTGCGGTACCAGCACTCAAGGAAATGTTCTTATGAGGAAAACGTCAACAAAGCAAAACTGCTGTTGATATGAACACAAAGAACGGCTCCACAATGCCTGCGGTAGACGACAAAACGCGACTTCTAGGAAGCTGCAAACACATCCGAAGCGCCCTATGACAATGCTTACAGACATCACGAACTAGCCGCACAAAATTGCTGACGTCATAAACCTCAGAACAGGACAACATCGTTGCAGGATTGTCAACGGCTTTCAAAGCAAATGGCATGCATGATATTAATGCAGGGACCACGTGCAGGTCTTACCAGGAGACTTTGTCTCATTGGGAATGATGCAGCGAATAAAGTGAGGCGTCGTGGCTTGCAACGTTCTCATCAGATTATTCAGCTGCTCCTGGGGTTCATGGGTCACGCGGTCAGAGCAGCTCTGATGTCCGCGGGTCAGGTGGGGGTCACGCAGGGTCCGGGGGTCACACAATGCGAGAGCAAACGGGTCACTGCACTCCGAGGCACGCCGTTCAAAGGGGGGGGGGGGATTGAAGGCAATATTGGCGGGGTAGCCGAACTCAAGAAGAACCTGTAAACCGAAAGAAAACGGAGAATGTGCGCAAGCGAAGTAGGGTTGTGTGATCTGGGGAAGTGCGTGTACGTGTCCATATCTGCGATATGTTGTTAGTTGAGGCAATACGTCCAACGCTGACGACTGCGATGGTACAAAAGCACAGCATCAACACACATCATGGCTTTTGCTTTTGGCTGGGTGGATATTTAACATAAAAGGAAGGCGTACACCGGGGTAAGCTTATTACGAGAAGAGCAATGAGTGATTGATATCATACGCTAACGGAACAACCAACGGCCCATGGAGGGCCTGGCCCAGAGATATCTTGGAAATAGGTATCTGCTTCAATAAAGCAATGTATTTTTTTTATTTAAATAATTGAACGCTCATCAGTCTTGCAATTGCGATTACAATTTTGAAAATGCAAAGAATGAGAAATGTTTTATTTTGAAGCGAAATAGTCGGGCGCTTATCTTAAGCAAAGCAAGCAGCCGGGTCGCATGAATGTGACGTCACGGAGGCGTGGCTAAGCTTGATTTGTATACAAGAGCGGGACGCACGGGATTTCTTACCAGCAGCCTTCATCTCGTTAGGAATGATACAGCGAATGAAGTTGGGACAGGTGGCATGCAGCGTTCGCATGAGGCCGTTCAGCTGATCCTAGAACACCAGCCAGGGGGCGGTGAGGAGTGTGCTCCTGCGTGATGAGATCAGCTCCAGGCCCACTCCGGGGGGCTATGGGGTGTAACGACTACGGGCTTCTTCTGTCTGTTAGACTAAGGGACGTAGGACGCTGTGCTGAGGAGACGTAGTGTTTGTAAGAAGGACTAGTAGTTGTAAAAATTAAACTCGAAGGCGTATCGGAAATGTGTAGTCCGAGGTTGGAAGTGTTCTGATGCGGCTTGGAAGGATTCCGAGAGTGGCCGAATGCCTGTGGTAGCATGAATTCAGGCGCGGGGTAAGAACGTATTGATTACGGAGCATACAGGGCGTTGCCATGGACACCAAGGCATCAGCATGCTTTCGAATGATATATTACAGATAAATTATGCTATACGAACGAGCCCAAACATGGCGAGAGGACACCGGCAGCGAAGACTGACATGAATTAAGTGTCAGGAATATATCCCTGCCCGTCACATGAGCGAATAGCCTGTCTGGGTGTACTCCATCTCACGAAAATCTCTATCAGGTGCGAAGCTGAATGTCAGCTGCTATTGACCGAAGATGCGTGAGCAAAATGTAGCACCGCAGACAGGCCTGTAAGGTCCGAAGCCACCAGGTCCTCTCGCCACAGTTCAGCGAATCCGAACCGCCTGCATACGCGAGCAAGACCTTCTCATTCGGCAGAAAGTCAGCCTCAAGTCGAGCTGGGTAGGGTAACGGGGAAGGGGTCACGTGGGCACACGATGCGAGGCCTCCACGGTGCACCGGCCCCGCGCAGCAGCGACGGAGCCGTCGGCCCGCCCTCTGTGGAAGAGGCCATGCTACGGGTCCGCATTCCGCATTCCAAACACGGGCTCGTGCCTCGCATTCCATACTGGGTCACCCGCTGACGTGTGTGTCAGGCTTCGCGTGCTTTCCTGTGGGGGGGAGGAGGGGAGGGGTCGCCCCGCCGATCACGGCCTCAGGCACCGTGCAGAGGGGGGGGGGGCGATCTGGGGGAGATCTACGTCAGGGTTCTCCCATCTTCGGAGCAGTCGACATTCCAGGGCTTCATGGGTGCACCTACCCGGCGCCTTCATCTCATTGGGGATAATACAGCGGATAAAGTGAGGCGAAGTCGCGTGCAGCGTCTTCATCAGGCCGTTCAGCTGCTCCTATTGGTGCAAAGGGCGTGACGTCAGAGGGACGCTAGTCGTATTCGGGAGAGTTCCTGCAGTTTTACTGGAGTTCCCAACAAGGTGCTCCATGAAGACCCTTGGCACATTATATTTTTCCACCTAGCGCAAATGTAAATGGCAGTATAAGTTAATGATGCATTCATTTTAGCAGAAGTCGGATAATTCCTAGAGAGACGATTTTAAGCTGTCCTTTCCAATTTTTGAAGATAGGTACGTGGGAAACTTGTTTGAGTATGAGTCTCCGAGATCTAATCGTTCGTCAGATTTGAGTTGAATTGTGTCCACACGTTTTATTTGATTCTTCCACACACGATTTGAGTTGACTTGTGTCCAAACGTTGCAGTTCCCAACCGGCCTGTTGACGTTCTGGGGTGCGGGGAACGGGATCATCATACCCTGTAACTGGCAGACACCGTCGCGAAGCCGCCACCCTTCTTTCCGCGGCCACCTACGGTCAAAGGTCAGCGCACGTCAGCACAGCACACGTCACAGCAGCAACATCAGCCGGCGGCGAACAGGCCGCCGGCGCTCCGAGCGCGGGCCGCCTGTTCGCCGCCGGCTCGGAGCCGGGCGTCGGCGGGGACGACGCTGCTCTGAGGGGCGTGCGAGCACGGCTCAGACCAACGTCGTCCGAGCCTACAGGAGCCCTGTAGAGGCCCTGCAGAGGCTCTGCAGTGCGGACCGCGCAGCAGTTTGAGGCGTCGATCACCGCTTCGAATTTGGATGCCGCCCCGGGCGAAAACGGGACCCAGAACGCAATAGTCGTCGACGCACAGCCAACAGAGCGTCGACTGACCGTCCGCCAGCTGTGCCGGCTAGCGACAAATGGTCTGATTGCGATGGGTGACAGAGATGCGTCCACTCCCAGCTGCGGAGACTGCGGGCCGCACTGCAGGCTAACACCAGCGTCGCGGTGCGGCAGATTTACCCGATAGAGCGCAGACACGGTCTGGAAGGCCGACCCCTTGGTGCGCTTGCCACCTGAGGTGAACGCCAGCTCGGAGGGTTAGACGGCAAGGAACGACAAACAACCGGCAGGTGACGGAGAATAGTCCAACCCCCAACCAACCAAACCCCCTCCCCTGCGCCAGTTGAAGCCCGTACGTGAGGCATGTTTCGGAAGAATTCCGCTCCGGCGCTTCCGCTAAAAAAAATAATTCGCCAGCAATTAACGCAATGTGGTGGCGTAAAGCTGTTGGCTGTGTCAATGCCACACATGAGACACTGGTCAAGCGTAATGGCATGGCCTTTACGAGACGCATGGACTCACGTGATGATGGATACTGAGAGTCGACTCCTTTGAGAACGATGCCCCCAGCGGCTGCTTCAGCGCTTGCCCTCCCCATACCAGACTCGGATGAACGTCACATTTGCTCAACGGCATCAAGAGAAACAGCGGTTTTTTGACTCACGATGATCACGATCCCATTTTTCCCCACGAATTTGTTCCCAAATCAATCACAGGAGGCTGCGTCACTGCCCACAAACCTCCCCGAGACCGTGACCCTCTCAACCTCGTGTGACATCAGGACGACGACTCACCCTTGCCGCCGCCGGACTCCGCCGGAGCAGACTGGCCAGGGTGGTCAGCGAAGATCTCCACCAGCAGGCCGTTCTTGCCCTTCTTGAACTGGTCGACCACGGTGTCGTTCAGCGGGTCCTTATTCTTCTCCAGCCAGCCAGCCAAGTTGTACGCCACCTGGCGCACGGGGAGTGAGTCAACACGCCACGTTTGAGGGTTTTATAGGCCCGTGACTCTTCATGAAATGCTTGAAGCAGGCTCTTTGTTTGTGAGCCAACCTCTGCTGTACCTGGCTTTATGCGATGGAAGAAGAGTGCGCCCCACCAATCGGGGGATGACGATACGCTTGCAGCACTTAGTGACGTGGTCAGCGAACACGATCGGTTATGGAGCGGTTTGATGACTTAGCTTGGAACAACATTCATCGTGCGGATTGCTCGGGATTTGCTGTGGATGGGCTTCAGTAGTGATTGATTAGGCATGATTAAATTCTGCGGTATTTTGATGAGTGAATTTAGCTGTCGACTGGGGAGGGGGGAGGATGTTGAAAAATGATCATAGGCATCAGGTAAAAATATCTTTAAGAATGTTAAAGGACATGGAGCCCGCCTGCCCAGCTTACTATTCCTGCAACAAAGCGCCGCTTTCTATTGCATTAAAAACCCAATGTTTTGTTTCGTTGCCGTAATTAAAACAAACATCACTGCTTCACCTTATTACGTCGATCAAATTTGCTCACAAGATGTGTCAAGTAGTACGGCATCGTATTGAAAAAGCAGGCAAACATAATTGCGCCGACCAAATGCGCTCAAAGCTGTCCTGAGTAAAATGGCATGGCAATGAAAAATAAGGCAAAAATTAGCCGCCCCAAATCGTCAAAAATCGACATGAAATTTTTATTCGTCGGATAGCAAACTTACCGTGCCGGCGTAATGGACGATTGCGAAATGCGCCTCCACCTGACCCGGCTTGGGCGGCTTCGGCTTGACGAACAGGGCCGACTTGCCGAGGTGGTTGGTCTTCAGCTTGTCCTCAAACGTCTTGTCCGTCGCCTTGGGGAACATGCTCTCCTCCTCCAGGATGGAGAGCACGCCCATTGGCTGCCCGGGGCGGTGGTAGTCAGGTCACGGTGTGACGGAGAGACGCTGCGTGTCGTCACGGTGTGACGGAGAGACGCTGCGTGTCGTCACGGTGTGACGGAGAGACGCTGCGTGTCGTCACGGTGTGACGGAGAGACGCTGCGTGTCGTCACGGTGTGACGGAGAGACGCTGCGTGTCGTCACGGTGTGACGGAGAGACGCTGCGTGTCGTCACGGGTGACGGAGACGCGCGTGTGTCACGGCGTGACGGAGAGACGCTGCGTGTTGCCACGAAGAGGGCTTATTGCGTTAGATGGTGTAAAATAATTATAATTATTCCGGTAAAATTTTCAACACAGAAATTAAGTTTTTTTGTACTGTCAGCTATGCATTATTGAGTTCTTTGGAGATCATAAGGTTCAGTTGCAAAAGTCTTGCCTCAATTAGAGGAGCTGCTCCCACTTTTGGAGTGATTGCTTTGGGTCCCTTTGGACCTGAACAGTTTTTGCTTACATTACATTTGTATTCCAATTGGGGTGCAATGCTATGTGGTAAATGCCCGATTAACGTTAAGCTCAAGTTGGGAGTTCAGATTTAACTGACATGAACACTGACAATAAACAACACTGACCGACTGACATGACGCCATTAGTGGAGCCTGGAAACGAGGCGGGTACACTGTCCGACAGATCTTCAGTATGGCACCATACAATCTAGACCACGCAATTCGCTCCCACCCCGAAATGAATGATGCAGATCACAGCCTAAATCACGCACGGACAAGCAACAACAAATTCAGACAATTTAAATATGACGACATGGTTAAAACCGTACGCTGCGAGCGTCGCAGCTCACCCGATCGTCACCGAAGACGAGTTTTAGTATGCATGCATCACATTTAGCGTGCAATAGAATCGGCGATGCGTGCGGTTTGCGACAGTTGCATCGGTTTCCAACCACCACTGCGTGTCAATCGCGTATAAATGCTGAGAGCTGAAATGTTTCGGTGAGCCCATTCAAGATGTGCTTCTGTTTGCCTCCGTGAACAGCTGGCAAAATGATGCTTACGATGTCTCTGCACTTGTGCTTTTTTGACATAATCAAGCTAGTTGAGCCCAGCGCGTTGTCGTGGTTAGTGCTAAAGCCGCGCTCACCAGCACTTTGTGAAGATTGTAAAGATACCTCTTAATGACGAGCCTGCGACCACCAGAGCCGTAACAAAATCGAGCACCGGGTGAATTCGGGGTGACTCCCGTATTCGCCTATCCATTCATCCTCGTACTCCTCGTTGGAGCAGGGTTCGTCCGTGTCTGCCGGGGACCTTTGTCGAGCGCCGACGCCGGACGATGCGTGACCTTTCGGCCGGAGCGTGCTGGCGGAGAGGGCTCGCACTGTCAGTGACAGCGGTCGCCGACAGATGGCATGCGTGCAGGCTCTGCGGGTAGCCGACAGAGTGAGTCGATCAGGGGTCGGAATCGATCCAGATATGGAGGGAATGCAAAGCGTGGTGGTGGTGGGGGGGGGGGGGGGGGCTGGGTCTCGGGCCTGCTCAGGACATGCAGCTCACACCTGGGTCACGCTGGAACAGAGCGGGTCTCCTGGGGATGCGCAGTCACTCCGGGCCAAACTACAGGTTCACTTGCAGGTGTGGGTTCACGAAACGGGCCTCTTTTTTCGCCGACGGTATGGGCTAACCGATACTCACACGAGAACAGCCTATACTCGAGGAGCAACGGCAAAGCACAAACGAGCATAGGCCGTTGGAATTGGCATAGTGCCAAAAATACGTCATAGATATCTCCTTGGGCTTTGCTGTGATCACTCGCGATGGGCACGGGAAAAACATGCGAAGTCGGGATATGGGTAACGCAACATGGGACGGGGCAGCATTCAGTGCGAGCAGGGCACAGGTCAAACGCCAAATCTCGAACCTGTGAAGACGTCGATCAGCGACTCATGCTCGGGGTATATCAACGCCGGTCGGGACAGGTACGATGCATTGGTGAACACACCCAAGTCGTAGACGGTTCCAGGACACGGGGCATAATGCAGAGAGAGAGGGGAACACACGACGAAACATACTAGGGGAGGGGGGGCAATGCAGAGGGGAGCGGTGGGGGGGGGGGGGGGCACACAAGCATCGGGCAGAACGTGACGTCGGGCTGTCTCAGGCTCAAAATTCCTCGTAACTCATAAATGGCCCGTCGTTCTTCGGCAGCTTTCGCTGACGCCAGTGGCCGGACTGCCAACTTCCACTCGTGCAAATTCTCCGATCACCTAACTCCCTGTCACGTCAGGCGCCAGGCGCAGCGAAGGTCATCGAAAGGTCTGTTCTTCCCGAGTCGAAGGCATGTTGG